TTACCCTAAAAGGACACCTTGGGCCCTTCGTTGGGCTTCCTTGTGTCATTACGCCCCGAAGCCGATGCCACGCCCAAGGTGGCCATTGGCACGTGGTGTGCTACGGAGCATTTGTCGACCTTCGCACTGCTGATTCCCGAGGCATGGCCGCAAGGGCTGTGCCGCGGCTTTGAAACTTCCATGGCTGAAGCAGATATGTGTTTTTGTTTTCCCTGTTTTTGTTCAAGGAAATCCATTTCACTACTGGAAATCTGTTTTCCCTTGGTGGATTTAAAGGGAATCTATCACTACTGGAAATAGCTGTATTTTTTCCAGGGGGCTTAAAAAAAAGGATAGAAACTATGCTGAGAGTTGATGCAAGCGTTGACCATCATGTGTGGGTTTAGCCAACTGTCAACGGGTCCAGACGGTGCCGATTTATTTCAGTTGCGTAAGTTGAGGCCCTGCCACTTGGCATCGTGCAACCGGCCTGCGGCAAGACTGCGGCAAGTTCCTGCAGTGGTGGTGTGCGTGTCATGGGATGGCACCTGTCGGTTAGAACAATACATGTCTGGACCGGTTTGTCTCCAGAATGTGTGATTTGCATTAGTTTTCCGTTTTACTCAGGCCCAAAAGTAGGGTTCATTTGCTTGGACGCAAAGGCACGGCTTCACAATCCACCTCCATGGAAAGAGAGGGGAAACAGCTGCTGCAAACAAGTATTGCTGTGGGCAGATTGAGGACAGGGGTTTCAATGGAGAAGTTCGACCCCTCAAGGGCCCTCAAAGACAACCCATTTTGAAAGCCCAAAATCAAATCGGGACCCTCCGAGCATGAAGGTTTGTGAATGGAAGCCCAAACAGAAAACTGGGACAAACCACGTAGTGTTGACCCCATATTACGCAACCCCAGTTCTTTAATGGGGGAGTGGGGGCCGCTCCAAAAGTGGTCTGATCCCCCACATTTCACCCCAGGACTCCCTGTTAATAAACTGGGGTTGATTAACTAGGTCCCAGTAGTGCCCCTTTGCCTTTTTTTTGGGGGGAGGGTTCCCCTACTACAATAGACTACAGCAAAAAGTTGGAACCCTTATTCTAAGCTCTCGACTGGAGGACCTAATTGATATGGGGTCAACCTTACCAAGTCAAGTCGTAGGCCAGCTGAGGACTGGACCACGACCCCCACACCGGCCACGACGACGATGACGGTGCCGGCGAGCGTGGCAGGTGCTGTCCAAGCAGAGGCCAACCCAGAAATTGACAATGTTCATGTTGATTGCTGGTGCGTGATCTTTGAACTCATGTTATTTTCGTGCTCCGCGCGCCGGCCTCGCATGTCAGCCGCGCGGGCTGGATGGATGGACGCGATGCATGGCGGATGAGAGGGAGAGAGAGAGAAAAAGAGAGAGAGAGAGAGAGAGAGAGAGAGAGAGAGAGAGAGAGGGAGGGAGGGAGGGAGGGAGGGAGGGAGGGAGGGAGGGAGGGAGGGATGGATGGATGGCTGGGCTGGCATGCGGTGGGCGGGTCGATAGGTGGATGGATGGGTCATGGGATGGGGGGCTGGATGGGATGGCGCACACGCACACACCCACACACACCCACCCCCACCCACCCACCCCCACCCATCCACCCACACCCACCCACCCACACCCACCCACCCACCCACCCACACCCACTCACCCACCCATCCACCCACCCAGCCACCCACCCACCCACCCACCCACCCACCCACGCACACACAGACCCACCCACCCACCCACCCACCACCCACCCACCCACCCACCCACCCACCCACCCACCCACTCCACCCACCCACCCACCCACCCACCCACCCACCCACCCACCCACCCACCCACCCACGCACGCACGCACGCACGCACGCACGCACGCACGCACGCACGCACGCACGCACTCACGCACGCACGCACGAACGCACGCACGCACGCACGCACGCACGCACACACACGCGCGCACGCGCGCACGCAAGCGCGCACGAACGAACGCACGCACGCATGACGCACGCCTGACGCACGCCTGACGCACGCACGCACGCACGCACACTCGAGCTCCAGTGGCCGCGCGGGCAGTGATGATGCACCAGAGGCGCTGGGAATGCAGACGATGCGAGGGGTCGGCGGCAGCGACTGTCTCTCTCGGAAGGCAAGAGGCCGGATTTAATGGCCTGCAGCCTGGCTCCGCCACCCCCATCGGGCTCAGAATTTCGGCCTGACTGCATATGCGCCTACACCTTTTGGGTTGCCATGACTAGAAATGGACCAACGAGGGCAAACCAAAAGGTCATTGATCGATTTGATTTGGGCAAGTGAGCCCTTGAACAAGCCAATGATAGAAGTCTGCAGGGATATCTGCCTCAGAGCGACCGGGCCCATACCGTCAATGTCAGGCTCAAAGTCAGGTTTCAAGGAACAACCCATCTTTCCCTCATCTGTTTTGGTAAACAATCGGTCCTTCCACCAGCAGTTTCCAATATGAGTGAGTGGGATTCCAGAAGGGAATTCTTA